TTTGGCCGGAGATAACCCATCTTCGAACTTGATCTAGAAATCATCAAAACAACTTTTCTGACAAATTTCCAGAATATTTGGATGAAAACTGCAGCCGTTAGAGTGTTAACAAGCTTTTTCTATTTTTAGCTCATGTGACCTAGTTTTTAACTGGAGATGAATCATCTTCGACCTTTACCTAGAAATCATTAAAACAACCTTCCTGACAATTTCCAGAATATTTGGATGAAAACTGCAGCCACTAGAGTGTTAACAAGCTTTTTCTTTTTTAGCTCCTGTGACCTAGTTTTTGACCGGAGATGAATCATCTTCGAACTTGACCTAGATATCACTAAAGCAACCTTCCTGACAAATTTCCAGAATTTTTGGATGAAAACTGCAGCCTCTAGAGTGTTAACAAGTTTTGTCTATTTTTAGCTCCTGTGACCTAGTTTTTGACCCGAGATAACCCATCTTCAAATTCGATCTGTATTTCATTGAGACATGATAAAGTTTGATGATGATACAATCAAAAGTGTGACTGGTAGACTGTTAACAACCCAATTGTTAGAGTGTTAACAAGCTTTTTCTATTTTTAGCTCCTGTGACCTAGTTTTTGACCGCAGATGACCCATCTTCAAACTTGACCTAGATATCATTAAAACAACCTTCCTGACAAATTTCCAGAAAATTTGGATGAAAACTGCAGCATCTAGAGTGTTAACAAGCTTTTTCTATTTTTACCTCCTGTGACCTAGTTTTTGACACGAGATAACCCATCTTCGAACTCGATCTGTATTTCATTGAGACAAACATTCTGACAAAGTTTGATGATGATCCAATCAAAACTGTGACTGCTAGACTGTTAACAACCCAATTGTTGACGACGCACGACGACGGACGCCGGACATAGCCCCATCACTATACCTCACCTTGACCACTTTGTGGTCAGGTGAGCTAACAACAGTATTAGTGCAAGAACCTACTTCAGAAACATTTTTAGGAGTTTACATACCATGTACTTATAAGCAGGACACTCACTTATATTTAGAAAATTGTAAGACGTTATGATGATGTAAAATATGTATGTAACACATATATTCTGTACCAATTTCAATAGCTTATTTTTTAATTGTGCAAATGTTTACTGTATTGTGAAAGAACAAGAGTTTTGTTTGTAATTACATGTATACATGTTTATAAAAATATAATATCATAATTTATCTGTATATCATTTAGAGAAAAGCTAAAACAAGAGTTTCTAGTGAACGGAACGTTAATGTTTGCTATGGAGTCACTGGCTGCTTAATGTAAAAAGGCAAAGTTTACTTTATGAGTCACGAGTTGCTAAGGAAATTTAGAGTTTGCTATGAAAATTCAATGGCTGCTTTAAAATCACAGGTTGCTTAGTATAATGGAAGTCACTGGTTGTCATGGAAAGCAGACGAATGCAGTGGGATTCATAATTTGCAATGGACAGCCAATGGTAGCTATGGAAAGTCAATGGTTCCTATAAGAGTTACTTATCGCAATGGGAAGACAAGTCACTGTTTGCTGTGGAAGTCAATGGTTGCTATGGAAAGTCAGTGATTGCTATTGAATTAAGTGTTTGCAAGTCAATGATTGCAATTGAAGTCACTTTTTGCTGTGGAAAGTCAATGGTTACTATGTATGTCACTGGTTGCTATAATAGAATTCATTGGTAAAATGAATGCTATAAGACATCACTGGTTCAAAGGAAGATTTTGGTTGCTAAGTAAATTAACAGGTTGCCAAGGAAGTCAATGGATATTTTTGAAAGTCATTGTTTGCTATGGAAATTCACTGGTTTCTTTATAAGTCTATGGTTTCTATGGAAAGTCAATGGTTGCAATGGAAATCAATGGTTGCTGTTAAAAGTCAATGGTTGCAAAAACTGTCACTGGTTGAAATAAAAAAAAAGTCGCTGCTTGCTATGAAGAGTCATCGGTTGCTTTGGAAAGTTATCAGTTGCTTTGGAAGTCATTTTTTACTTAAGAAATCTATGGTTACTATTGTAATAAATGGTTGCTGTAGAAAGTCACTGGTTTTTATGAAAGTAAATGTTTGCTATGTAAAATCACATATATATCATTGTTTCATAAAGTCAATGGTGGAATAACACGGTTTGCAATGAGAAGTCAGTGGTTGGTAAAGGTCTATCAGTCGTTTAATGCCAAAAAATAAGGGTTTAGTTGGTGGCTGATTTGTGCCATTCGTGTTTTCGCCCTGCGACCCCGCCAAGTTAGAGGTTCTCTGTTTTAAAGAACCAGAGTTTTTACTATCTACAATTTTACAATCAAGCATGCCGGTGATATGCACAACTAGAAATAGTAATGATCACTCCTGTGAAGTTTTATTGTAATACCACAAGGAGTTTGACCTTTGAAGGCCGAACAAGATTTTTCTTTTTTTTTTCCTCAGGCGACCTTTTGTACAGCGAAGCAGAATGTGCTGGTGATGTGCACAATAAGGGATGGCACTGATCACTCCTGTAAAGTTTGGTTGAAATCCCACCAGTAGTTTGACATGTGAAGGCCGGGTTTTTCTATTTTAGCTCTGGTGGCCATTTTGTGCAGTGAAGCGGAACGTGTCGGTGATGTGCACAATAAGAATACAACGATAATAACAATAAGTTATTTTCTTTTGTTTAACCCATTACGCGATAAGTTCGCCTTTTAACGCCTTTTTAACCACCCCTCCTTTTTTGGTGTCTGTAATGGTGAAATAATGCCTTATTTAGGCCCCAAACACTTATTTGTGTTTGAGAAATGTTGTTTCAAATGCGACCACTTATTCGGCGCGGCCCCAACCAAAAGATACATCAGGGGGTTGCCAGAAGGGGGATGTGCCCCCTTCTGTTTGGGGTTAATAGTTAATTTTGGCAATTTTGAGATGTCCCCTCGTTGCCATGGTAACAGGAAATTTAAGACTGAGCATGTCGTTACAAAGGCAATGGTCCAGTCAACACTTGTGCAAAGTTTGATTAGTATTGAAGCAGTTTTTATAGTTTTATAGCAATTTGAACTTGTAACGGGAGACTTTTCAATGAAAACAGCCATTTTTCACAAAATGCTCATGAAGAAATGGGTTAATAGAGGGCAATTGCCTCTTTTTTTGTTACGGAATGAATTATATTTTTCTTTATTGTTCTGTTTACAGTCAGATGCCCCCCCCCCCTATCCCTATTCGGTAGTGCAGACATGCAGGCGACGGAGAAATGATCCTATACTCCGTAGAGGCGACACAAGAAGAGCATTATTCCGTAAAAATATTTGATAGAGATACTTCCTCCTGTGTGAATGTTGGGGACATGAACAAGTATACAAAGTTTCAAAGCCTTATGACAATGGACTTTGAAAATATTTGATGTGGTATGCAAACTCTTACGTAAATTCTTAGTCAAGAAAATATTTGAGGTGATACAGAAACCTTAAGGTAAATTCTTAGTTAAACAAGAGCACCGCTAGGCGGAGCATTATATGTCCGAAAGTGATATTTTTGTAAGGATGGAGCATTTGTAAGACAAGGAAATTAAATAAAGTATAACTTACAAATAGCTATATCTTCCTATGAAGTTTTAATATTGTGGGCCAAATGGAACATAGTTATGTTCCGGAAAGTTTAGTTTTAAGGTAATAGTGACCTTGACAATTGGCCTTGTGACCCAAAAATCAATAGGGGTATTTTACCCAATATGGACGATCATCCTATGAAATTTGAACACTTTGGACTAAATGGAATTTTGATTATGTTCCGGAAACTGCTTTTGGTTTTAAAGTAATAGTGACCTCAACCTTTGACCTTGTGACCCAAAAATCAATAGGGATGTTCTACCCAATATGGACAATTATCCTATAAGTTTAAACACTGTAGGCCAAATGGAAGTTAAGTTATATTCCGGAAACTGATTCAGTTTTAAGGTAAAAGTGACCATCACCTTTGACCTTGTGACCCAAATTCAATAGAGATGTTCTACCCAATATGGAAAATCATCCTATGAAGTTTGAATATTGTGGGGCGAATTGAACATAAGTTATGCTCAAGAAACCAAATTGCTAACGGACAGAAGGACGGACGGACAGACGGACGCCAAGGGGTATAACATAATATGCCCGAAATTCTTTCGGACAGATAAAAAAGGGCATAATTATTTCATAATGCTTGATAAGAATTCCTCCTAATGTGTACAGGTTGAAGGGCATGATGATGAAAAAGTGTGCAAAGTTTCAAAGCTATTTGTCAATGATTTTCAAAATATTTGATTGCAAATTGTAAGGTAAAAGTCAAAAGGGGGCATAAGTTTTTTCTCGAGTTACCACCTCCTACGCCGACGCTCGGCAGTTTAGGATAGCTTTTTAATTATTTGAATTGTCGAGCTAAATTTACCCCCCCCCCCCTTAAAATATATATAATATATTTTTTTCATATATATATATTCACATTAAAACATTTATCCACATTTAAAAAGATTTGTTTAACAAAAAGGCTAAATTAAACATAAATTCCATCCAAGTATGTGCCATACCCCAATGGAGTTTGCATGACATCCCTCATAGTAAGGCTTATCATACTTCCAGGCGCATGGCCAACATGTATACATGTATATGCCACATATTAATATTATAAAGTAGGAAAAGGAACAACACTTATTTGGTTAAATACATCTAAAATTAATCCAAATTCGTTCTCCTAGGAAGAAGGTCCTCAGTTTTCATTCATATTCACATTTTGAAACTGCTAAATCAATCTTATGAAGTTATGTACAGCGAAGTATTGATTAAACTGTCAGACTCAAAATAAAAAATGGTGTCTATTTTACCGTCACTTGTCTCATAACCTATCTCCCAAGTTCATTTAAGGTTACTCAGTACTCGTTTTTGTTGTAAACGCAAATATTTTCTCTCCAGAATGTCTGGTGCCATCATAGATGACCACGAAATTGTCTGATTGTTTTATAAATGATTTAAAGTTTTCAAATTCTGTTTTTGATTTTATATTACAATTTCTCATATAAACTTCCACTGTATGTGGAAGGTTGTTTATAACAGTAATGAGATCATGTAACACTGAACAAGACATTGTTATATACAACAAGAGAACACGTTCAATATTGATCATTTGAGGTGACAGTGTTAATGATCTTTCACCTAGATTGATTTCATACAACACAACATCTTTCAAATGATGCAACAATGATATTGTTTGTAACATTGATTCTATGTCACTGGCAGATTCTAGACGACCACACTCAAATGTTTGTAGTTTACTGGCTGCTGATAGTTGACTGAGATAAGATGACATAACACCAGGTTTATATAATTTAGCTACAGTACATCTCTCTAACAACGATACATCCATGTTTAATTGTGACACTGGTATCTCGATCAATCCTAAATATATTAGTTGTGAATGTTGGGACAGGTCAAGGTTGAATCCCCTACATGAATTACCATGATCACTACAGTTTAAATTGCCCAATGTTATATCCTTCATTGATTTTTTACTATTGAGGAAATTTAACAATGTCTCCATTACCTCGTGGGTCATAGTGAAACATTGTATATGTAAATACCCCAGGTGTTGTAATTTTACCAGTCGTCCATTTATCCCCTGCGACAGTTTGGAATTCTTCTCCTACAAATTTAAAGTTTTCTTCCCATTTATGATTACCACGGGTTTAAACTTTTTAAAGGGGTTTCCCAATAAAAAGCTATTTTTTCCCCCTTTCTAAAAATTTTTCCCCTTTTATAAAATAATTTTTCTATACGGAAGGTCGGGAGGGGGTTGTAAACAAATTTGATTTTTTTCTTGAAAACTACAAATACCTTTATTTTGTATCATTTTTTGGTTTTTATGTTTTCTTATTTTTTTTGGGACACAAAGGGTTTTGAAATTTTTTTTTAAGTATTTTTTTTGTTTGACATTTTTTCTTTTGATGTTTTGAAATTTTTGTAAACAAAAAATTTTGGAGATTTTCTGTTTTTTTTTCCCTTTTCTTTGGGGCAAAAGAAATGAAATGTTCTTTTTATGTTTTGTAATGGACCCAATTTGTTCATGCGATCATGATATGTCATAGTTCTGTATTTGCTTACTTTGTCATCATTGTTTATCACAGGCATCAAATCACTTGATATTGTAGACAATAATTTAGGGTTCATGTAACTAATGAAGACAAACACTTTTGACATGTCTAGAATATTTTGTAAACAGTTGCACTCTTCAAAGATGATTTTCTGAACTTCCTTTGTATTTTGAAAGCTTATAAATATTGCTGAAAAGAATTCTTGCACTGTTTTATGTGAAAATGAGATTTTAGAACTTTCATTTATTAATGTTTTCACTTTACTTTCTGATAATATTCCTGCTAGACAGCTTGATTTCAAATCTTCTTGGTTGAGATAGTTTTCAGCAACATTTTCATCAAAAACTAATGTGTGCTCCTTTTTCTTGCTGAACAATGTATAAAAAGCCAGTTTCCCAATGGTCACCAGAAACGTGTAGTAACGAGAAAAATGTTTATGTTTTCTGAAACATTCAGGGATGTTACTCAGACAAGTTTTGCACGAAGAATGAAACGTTCCATGTAACTTTTCTGTTCTAGATAAAAGGAGCTGAATAATGCCTGTATATAATTCTGCTGCGGAATTACCTATTGGAATTTTTGCAATCCATAAACATATAAGATAGAGTAACAGGAGAGGGGTAGATTCCATATCCTCAAGGTCATGGTTTCTAATTTCCTTTTCAAATCTACAAACTTCATAGTTCAGTTTTTCTTCTTCAATTTTGCCTTTTAATATTTTAATTGCGTTTAAGTTAAACTGCCTTACATTGTGTTTATCTAGTTTAACTAGCTCCACTGTTTTGTCTATTTGATAAGTCTTCAAATTTGAGACTCCAAGCTTCCATGGCCGGGTCGTTGTCAGAATCACACACTTTTCACGTGTATATCGATGTGGAATACTTTTAGGAAGTTTTGTACAATCGTTGTCAGGATGACTCCATTCATCTAGTCCATCTAATATAACAAGACATTTTTCATCACGTAAAATAGAACTTAAAAGGCCCTTCAAAAACTCTTTCGGCATTGAAGATGAGCACGGTAGATATTGTATGACTTGTTGTTCAATCATGTCGTCGACATCACAGAATTTAGCTGAATCTCTTAAAATCACTAGAAACAAAAACTCAAAGCCAGATAAAGCCTCTAATTCTTTTTCTTTAAAATGCTTATAATTTTCATCCTTTTTATGGGCTTGACACCATGTTATAGCGAGATATTTTGAAAAAGATGTTTTCCCAAATCCAGCGACCGCTGATAAATATATTTCCTGTGAAACCTTTTTTCTGGGTGTAAACAAGTCCTGTAACGACTTGACTCTTGTTGTTTCTTTCCTACCACCTGGAAGATTCGTCTGTATGTCAATATCTGGCATAATGTAGAACCCAGCTAGTGGGGTATGTGAATCATCTGTGAGTGGTGAAAGAGGAACTGTACTCTGATTGGTGTTGTACCATGTTATAAGTTCAACCTTCAGTTCTGAAATAGAAATAATTGAAATTTTATAATTATTCATTTACGTGTTAAAATAAAAACAAACATTGATATGATTTCTTTAATTCTAATGTTTTCAGTGAGTACATATTTATGAATATTAAATATAATTAGCTGCACTAATACAGACACGGAAAGCAAACAATCGTTTAGAAACAAAATGTTAAAACAATGTTTGTTTTTTCTTTTACTTTATATTAGATTCTAAAATATGCAGGACATACAAAAATGTTGAAATTGATACAAATTGTATTCGTCTGCCTTTTATCATCAACTCAAATAGCAGACGAAAACAATTTTTAAATAATTTATACGAAATATATAACTGAAATTCATACAAAATGTCTTTATTAAGAAAACCTTTTTGCTGTATTCTCACCTGATAATTTACTTACATGCAATCTTTCTAAAAAAGTCAACGTTTGGTACTCGGTCATTATCAAATTTGAAATGCTTCTAAGAATTGCTCTGGCTTAACTTTCATAAACATTAATAGTACAGTTGACAGGTGTCATAGATGATTACAAAAACATTTATTGAGCGCCATAACTGCCTTATAGCTGAGGATTCTATGGTATAGTGGTACTTTACGTTTATTGGAAAATATTTATATATAAAAAAATCATACATGAATGATGTGTTTCTTCATTCTAATAAGTGATCATTTTCTAAAACTGTTTGTCAAACTCTATTTCAAAAGATTCAATCAAAATGTCTTTTTAAGACTATTCCTATAGTCTGCTGCCATTTTGCGTGATTTCAGAGCATTTACTACGGCATCACGGTCATCCCCAAAAATGCAAGTATGAAATGATAGATGCGTCAAGGTTTCAAGGTCGTGGAAAACTTGCAACAGTTAACTTAATAAAATAAAATCAAGCTATAGGTTTGATGTTTACTACATAATAAGCAAACAGGACATTTCGGCCCAAAACCAAATCGGCCCCTGTACAAATATTGGCCCGAGACGTTTCGGCCCTTTTTTATAACAGTTTCATTGAAGTATTATAGGAATTTTTACACTTAACATCGTTTCAAAATTGTAGTATATTGATAGATTGATGACAAACAAACAATGAAGACACTTTAATCCTTAATTAATAATCCATTATAGATCTATCGATCGATCCCTTAGTATAATTATTTAGATAAATGCTATTTTTCAAGGTGTAACAATAAATAAGTTGAGGTTATTACATGGGGCAAGTGTGCTTTTACTCCATATTTGCACACTTGGTGACTTAAAGCCCGAGGGCAAAATTGAACCAAGTGTGCCAATATGGACTAAAGGCACACTTGCCCCCTGCAATAACCTGTTTATTGCATATGTTCAGCAGCAATTTTTCAGACTTGAATAAAATCAAGCAATCCATCAATAAATCCATCAAGCGATTCGCCAAAGATTTCAACGTCCTCCCGACGGCTATTTTTTGCGATGCGGTTTTAAATTGCGTTACGTGTATACGCGCGGACGTTCTGACCTTATTGGACAACAGGTAGGGGATGACCGGAAATATCCTCAATATGGGTTTTTGGCACACTTGGCAAGTGCCCCAATATGGCTTATTGGCACACTTGCTCAAATACGGGATTTTCGCATGTCATATTCAGAAAAATAAATACTTTTTTTTGTTACTAATTATAGTTATGATACATATGCAAAAAAGACACTTTAAGGGATTCCACTAAGGTTTTTTTGACATGATCGGACTGAAAATATTTTTTCCAGATAAATGAACCATTTGATATAGGTTTAGACCACTAATCTTTGTGCAAAATTTCAAATCATTTGCGCACTGCGTTTTTCCAGAATAATTATTAAAACTGTAAAAAAAATACCCAAAGTGAAAAGCGTTTAAACGCTTTTCATACAAATCGGGCTAAGAAGAGCATAAAAATACGTTTTTCAATTTTTTCATAGTATATTTCTTAACTATCTTTGCATATATTTCTGTTTAAAGTGCCCAAACTCTTAATTATGTAAGAAATTCAAATGGTATGTTTTTAGGCTTTTAAACCTCAGTGGAGCCCCTTTAATCCTTAATTTATAAGACAGTTGACAAACTGCAAAACTTTTTCATTAACAAAGTTAATTACAATTATACCCTACCCATACGTTTAGTAATATATATATGGAAAACAAATGAAGTCATGTGATTCAATGTTATGTCACTTACTTTGTTTAAATTCAATATATTGTTTTTCTTTCTCGTCTTTACTTGCTGTTTTCAGTCTTTTGTGTATCGTTTCTCCTAATTCAGCCAGGTCTGCTCGTCTTTTTTCTCCTTGTTCATGAATTTTCCCAACTTCTTTGTCCCCTTCTTCATTTAGTCTTTTAACAGAAGCATCAGATCCATCCTTTAATTGTGTCACTCCCTCAGCGATTTGTGACTGAAGAGACTGGAAATCTTCTTGTTTTCTTTTTATCATATCTAGTTTAATTCTGTCATATTGCTGATCTAATCCAGCCTTCATCTTGTCCTGTATTACTTTTGCCACATCGTCTAGTACTTTTCTTATATCATCTTTACCAATGACTAAAGTGTCATTTTCTAACTGTAATTAGAAATACAATGAAAATATACAATATCAAAAAAATAGTACAGAAAAATGTAAATAGATTTTAAAAAATAAATAAATAAACAATAAAAATAAAAAAGAAATAGAAAAAAATATAATCAGTTATTTATTAAGTGTACATACATTTAAAAGAAATATTGTACAAGAAAATGTATTTACAAATGTACTTCCAAAAATACATTAAGGAAAATAAAACTTTGTATATTTCCTTTCGAGTCATTGCAAAACAGTTTAAATTTAATAACAACAAATTATTTTAAAATTTGTTCAGGAATAGTTTAATATGTACAATACTCCTGTTTAGTTAATAACAGAGTTGTAGATTGAAATAATAAACTGGAAAAAGTACTTTTGTTTTATGATAGTTATTAATACAATACATTGTATAAATGATCAGTATGTGTATTAAGATATATGTAAAAACTGTTGTGGTAGTTGTAATGGTGGAAGTAGTAGTTAGTTGTTAGTAATAGTAGTTATAATAGTAGTAGTAGTAGCAGTTAGTAGTAGAAGTAGTAGTATTCAGATTTTTACCTCTGTCAGTTTTTGTTTAGCATTCTGAGCATGCGTGTCTGTAGCTAAATACCCTTGATCAGAAAGAAGTTTCTGTAAAAGTTTGAAGTATTTCTGAAGATCTTTATCCTCTACTTCAAGTGTTGATGAATGTCGCACTTTTCTTCCAATTTCTCTTGCCTGATCAAAAAAGAATAACAGTTGTTCTTATATACTTTTACCTAAATCCTATAAGTTAATTATAAAATTTACTTATAACTGAGAAACTGTTACGTTAAACATGTAGTAAAAATACTTACTAGGATATGTATATATAATGAATTGCAAACAAGATAAGAGCTGTGTTGAGCTAAAATGTCATAGCTAGGTGAATGTCTGCTAGGGGAGTGGTCTACTAGTCTGTATATATAAAATATTCTTTATGCTCGCCTACAAATCTTTTGTACCTAAAATCCCTTATGTAACAATTTGCTTTGTTTTCAGAAAGCATTACAAAAATCTAAGTTTATTATATATATCATATGACTGTTGTATTTTACTTTAGGTCACTGAAATATATAATTGTCGATTTTGGTACCTAAAGACCAAACGCAAGTCTTCATAAATAGTATCTAAATATTGTTTACCTCCTCAAACATATTCGTCTTATTATTGAGGTTTTCGTATATTTTACCCTGGAAGTCTTTGTAATTGAGTATAACGCTGATTATACCATTGAAGTCTGTTTCTGTTGCAGATGCTTTATCTTTATACCCATCTGGGGGCATAAAGCATTTCACCACTTCCCAGAAATTAGTACACCACTGGGTAGCATCAGTGTTTTTGTACGATGGACCATAATACCTATGTGCATTCTGTATCTCTGTTGCAAAATTATGACATATTTTGTTAGGGCAGCCGGCAGGTTTATACTTTGTTACAGCATTTCGATGATAACTGCATTTTCCACGTCCAACATTGCATATTTTATTTGTTGGACATTTGATAACATTTTCCGTACAGCAATTTGAACACAAAGTTCCACTCATCAATCCATTGCTGTACCAAATATCATCTAAACATTTTAACTGGAATTCTTGAACTTCATGACACACAAAAGGTTCAAGTCCGTCTTTAGTAAACAACAATGCTAACTGAGCTTTAACCCAGTTATTGTATTTCTTTTCTGAAAGCTTCGGGCTATAGGAAGCCATTGTTAACTCCGTCTTACTGAGTTAACATCATCACATTGTTAAATGACAATTTTAATCTGGAAAATAAGAATAACTGGTGTTAATGTGTAATTTATACAGATTCGATACTTATTAGACATTGAAATGATGTTTAACTCTCTTGTTTCATAGTTTGGGGACCTTTCTGATGAAAAAGTGACAGAGTTAAATCGTATATATATACATGTACAGTGCGTTAACTGGAGTACAGGCATTAGTTACCCGCACTCCAGAGCATGCCTATTGGTTGGTTCATTCTGTCCGGGGTTTACATATTGTGACGACAGAAAAAGGGATAGCGATGGAAATAATGTCATATTCTGATCAATGCTTGTTCATTGGTTACTTTTTTGTGGGGTTTGATATTGTGGTATCACTCTGGGAACGTGTTTTTATGTTTGACTATGATACAAAAGAGAAAGAACATCAAAACACTTAGCAATTTGATTAATAATCGGGGGTCACGCCCCCTCGTACAAATCAGATAGCCTCGTGTTTCAATGCTCTTTCTATTACAAGAACATCAAAACACTCGGCAATCTGATTTATACTCGGGTGCTACGCCCCCTCGTACAAAGCAGATAGCCTTGTGTATCTATGCTTTTTCTATTACTTAACAGAGATGTACACACTTTAGTAGGAAATAGATAACCAATCCTTTTAACATTTTTATTTTCTTAAAAGCAAACAAATAAACGGTTTATATAAATCAAAAAGAAAATTAAAGAAAAAAGGCTTGTCTTTTTTAATTTTTATAGGTCAGTCTAGTCATACTTAAAGTTTTGTTCAAGTTTGAATCATTTCAATAAATTAATGAGAAGTTAAGAAATACAGAGCTGTCACAGGAGACAGCGAAGCTCGACTAATAAAATACTGGACGCAGTAAGGAAGACAAAACCATGAAAGAAAAATCAATTATGCATAATTATGTATTAAGTTATAGTAAAAAAAGTAACATTGTTAACATAAATTCCAAGTTCAAGGGGAATAATTCTAGAAATAGTCACGCTAGAGTTATGAATCTTGTCACACAACATGTGTGTAATGATAAGAAATATATATTAGAAGTTTGAAGTTAAGATACCTTAATAAGTAAAAAAGTTATAATATGTCTTAAAGAAAATCCTAAGTTCAAAGAGAGATAAATCTGTAATTATTGCTTCAAGAGTTATGAACATTGTCACATATAATGTAATTGATGATAAGGAATAAGTATTTGAAGTTTGAGGTAGATACCTTTAAAACTAAAAAAGTTATAGTAAAAAATAACATTTGTAGTAAAAAATCTAAGTTCATGGGGAGATGATTCTTGCAATATTGGTGCTAGAGTTATGAACCTTGTCACATAACATGTGGTTAATGATAAGGTACATATATTTGAAGTATGAAGTTGATCCCTTAAGAAATAAAGAAGTAACATTAAAAAATAATATTTTTTAAGGAAAATTCTAAGTTCAAGGTCAATGTCATTTAACGGACAGGGTCATATCTAAATTATTTATCCTGTCCTATTGGTCACAAGTGTTGTTTTGTCCATGTATGAATCAAAGCCGTACATAAATTACAAAATTACAACAAGTTAACCAAAGTTCAATAATTTGAAGGTCATTTCATACTCAAAGACAAGGTCTGTTCAGCGTTTTTAAACGGTCTTATCCAAAAGGTTGTTTTATCCAAGTTTGCAGATAATCCATTGATAAATTCCCAAATTACAAGGGTTACTTAATTTGCAAACGCTTTTATAGTAAAACTGTCTTAAAGATCTTTCCTGAATGTACAATTTCCTGAACTTAGAGTTTTACCTTGTTGTTTCCTACAGATATCTTATATAATTAATGGCACTGGGGTCACCTGAAGCCTGAGTGTCACATTACTTTATATTCTTGTATAGGAAAATACATTTAAGAATTCTTTTGGAAACTACAATGCAAAGGGCTTAGATATTTGGTATGTAATATTTCCTAGATGGGGTCTGCAAAAGTTTTATTATTAACGCTCCCGAGGAGGTAAAAAACCATAGCTTTGCCAAGGGGTCACTGAATTTAAATAGACTTGTTTAGAAATAATGTGTTAGATTAAACAACAATGTTCTGTGGTAAGATATTTTGCAGGTTGATTCGCCTTTTAGTTCTCTGCACTTATCAACGATCTCCGGTCTTCAAAGACCTCAAAGACCGTCGATTGCAGGAGACCGACGATGAGTAGGTTATTAAACAAATCGACGTTCTGTTGGTAAACAAAATTGACATGAATTGAAAAGACTAAATGATAATTGTTTATATGGGTCAATATTTTTAATGATGAAAGTGACTTTAGTGAAAACACAAAATTAAATTGATAATTAAAAAAGTATTAAGATGCTAATAAATATTTTAATAACTCCGATTGTACGTCTAATCAGTTGCAATTTCAGAGATTTATAAGACAGAAAGATAAGAAAGATTAGAGATAAATATAGCACTGTAAAGACAAAATGACAAAAAGTTCCGGATGATACGTTATCCGTGTCAAAGATGTGAATGATGAAATGGACGTTAACGGAAAAATAACAAATAGATTAACAAATAAGAGGGCCCTAGATTAACAAATAAGAGAGCCCTAGATCCCTCCCCTGACACATCAACCGCATCCAAGCAATGTCTTAGACAAGCATCCTGGCCAAGTTTGATGACAATGGAGTCAACAATGTGTTAAAAAGGTTTTTCCATATTTGGGCAGTGTGACCTAGTTTTGACCGGAGACGACCCATATTCAAACTTGACGTAGTAGTCACCAAAACAACCTTCCTGGCCGATGTCCAAGAAATTTGGATCAAAACTGCAGCCACTAGAGTGTTAACAAGCTTTTTCTATTTTTAGCTCCTGTGACTTAGTTTTTGACCAGAGATGACCTATCTTCAAACTTGACCTAGAAATCATCAAAATCTTCGTGGCAAATATCCAGAATATTTGGATAAAAACTGCAACCACTAGAGGTTTAACAATATTTTTCTATGTTTAACTACTTTGACCTAGTTTTTGACAGGAAATGACCCATCTTCAAACTTGACCTAGAAAGCAACAAAACAACTTTTTTCACAAATTTCCAGAATATTTTGATGAAAACTGCATTCACTAGAGTGTTAACAAGATTTTTCTATTCTTAGCTCCTGTGACCTAGTTTTTGACCGGAGATGACCCATCTCCGAACGTGAACTAAAAAATATCAGAACAACCTTCCTGTCTGATTTCCAGAATATTTGGATCAAAACTGTGGCCACTAGAGTGTTAACAAGCTTTTTCTATTATTAGCTCCTGTGACCTAGTTTTTGACCCGAGATAACCCATCTTCAAACTCAATCTGTATTTTATTGAGACAAACAGTCTTACAAAGTTTGATGATTATCCAATCAAAACTGTGACTGCTAGACTGTTAACAACCCAATTGTTGACGACGAACGACGCACGTAGACGGACGCCGGACATAGCCCCATCACTATACCTCACCTTGACCACTTCGTCGTGAGGTGAGCTAAAAACAAATGAATCGAAATATCAATATGCTTAGCTATTAGAAATGCTTAGTTATTTAGGTTTTAATTTTATGCAATTACAATGTGTATGTGTTGTAAAATCATATATACACTTAATCCATAAAATATTTTAGTGACAAAATTGTTGCCATAACATATTGCTTAAATATTCTTTGTAATTCATTGCGAGATCTCCGATTTATGTAAAAACCTTTTAATCAACGACTCCCTCCTCTCTCCCCCCCCCCCCCCCAAAAAAAAAAAAAAATTAAATAAATAAAAAAATTCCAATTAGTCTAGCTGAAGTCATCTCGTCATACATGTTATATACTGTGAATGTTCCCATCAGATGATGGAACAGAATTAATGCATTTATTCTATTTTGCTTGATGACATTGGAACTTGCATTATGCTTGATTCCATCTTGCTTTATGACATTGGAACTTTAAATTAATTAATTATGCTTGATTCCATCTTGCTTTATGATATTTAAACTTGCATTATGCTTGATTCCATCTTGCTTGATGACATTGGAACTTGCATTATGCTTGATTCAATCTTGCTTTATGATATCTTAACTTTATTTTTCATCATTCCATTTAAACTTTTGTAGTGACTAATTCTATCATTGAGTGACAACTATTAAACTGGCACAAGCCATATAACACCTTTCTTCATGCTCTTTACAAACTATATACGGTTCAGTTCTTTTTTTTTTGTATTAATTTCATGTAGAAGTGATTTAAAATCGACTATTCTACTTCCCTACTTCCGTTTGTACACCTTAAATTACACGGTGGATTTTGTTAAAGTGTGACTTATATGATTTACCGCTGGCATGGCGTGATTACTGTTAGCTTTCGCTTATTTCAATTATTCAGTGTTTATGCTGAATAAAGCTCGGTGTCTGATGCTTTGTGGATTATGTTTGGTCATCTTAAAATATATCTAAACAATTTAAACAATGTCTAACGAGTGTGAACTGTTAAGGGGCGAGAACTCTGTTATCGTGATCAACGGAATTTTTCCACATTTCGCCTATCATCGGTATTTTCCGTACACAAACAGTGACAATTTTGCGTATATATAAATACGTACCAAGCACTAAATATATAAATTGCCCAGGAAAGAATATAAATATAAGTAGAAAAAGGTTATGCAATATAATTTTATATATGTATGCAGTCTGATAGAAAATATATTCGTGAACAGTTATAATAATATTGAATGGGGCAGTTATACAGTGGTGGATTCAGGCCCTGGCTTAAGGGCTGCATCCAGCCCCCAGCTCAGCCAAAAGATACGTTCATGAGCTGGGATGGAGTATATACGTGTCAGTTTCATGCAAAATTGGTCATAGTACTCCCTTATCAAAACATAAAATGCTGTCATCCAGTTGTTACGCACCTGCCTAGGTGCTGCAAATTTAAGGTCTTTATCTAATTACTTGAACATTAAAAAGACAATTTTTATTGGCCTATTAAATTTCCAAATATCTCAGAGTCACTTATAGTGGCGAAT